CCCCACCCGAGAGGCACGCTCGATTGCGTTTAACGGATTCGGACAATGACCAAGAAGAAAACCAAGTGGTGAAAGTCGGCGAAAATCTGACTTAGAAACTGCTCCTTTATGCCTCCTTGTCCAAGGTTAAAATCCCATTACGCTTAAGTAATTACGAGGCCCGAACATTCCAGAAGCTCTTGCCACGCGAAAGATTGACTTTTTCTTCCTAGTCGCCTTACGACAAAGTTTCACCCGATCTCTGTACGTTGGAACTAAATAATTTACATACTAATCCATTGGCTGATATCAAAGACAGCACGGACTCGTTACAAGAGTTTCGTAATTAAAGTCGCGCCCTCGTGCAGTATTAATGAAGCGACAGTACAATTAGAAAGTATTGGGTAAATGAATTTTCGGACTCGCGTAGTACAGTTGCACGGCGAACGTGCGAAGGAACCTTCTTGTCGCTGTCAATGACGACCACATTTTATTGACTGTCCAGACTTCTTCGCGGGGAAAACGCTGGAGTATAGAAATATCCAAGAAATCGACGCCTAGCGTCGCGGGGCATATACACACAAAGTCAATAGAGTTTAAAAAATTAATGGGTACATAAAATCCTAATAATAGCCATTATTAGGACATTGCGATAATGAAATTGTATGGAACGTGCAAATTCTCAAAGTGAATTACGAGGTCGTCACTTTTACTTGGTAACTCGAAAAAGTCATTTTACAACGAAATCAGTGCGTGCACTCTACCGCCTGATAATTCATGCTGCAGGCGTCGAGTGTTACGAGGGAAAACTTACTTAAGCCGCATACACAAGCCGGAGGAGTCGCAGATTGAATTTAAGTAATACAAGGAGAACGTGCACGACGATCGATAAGACTTTCTTTATTTTGACGAAAAATACTGTATCGCGTGACATATATTTGCCTTATATATTTTTCGTTAGAAATCGTGGACAAGGGCGCTTTCATTGTTTTATTATTCAAGAGGACGTTAAGGCGCACGCGCGAAGAACGACAACGTTACGTAAGGCAACGTCCGGTCCGCGAGTGAAAAAAAAGAAATGTATCCTCGGAGCAAACAAAACTTTCTCGTCGCGTAGAATCGCTTTGGCGTCACATTAATTTTCGTGCATTAAAAGGAAAAGTCGAGCAATGTGAACACTGCCCTTAAGGATTGTCTCCGCCCTAGTGGACTTTACAATGCAATAGGAAAATAAGGCCCAGCCGTGGCGACGCAGTGGACACTGGAAAACATATTTTGGGGAGCAATTGGCAAATCGTTAGACCGATTAGACCAGCTGGCGCGGGCAGGTACCACCTGGAGAAGTTTTCCAAAATTGCACGGCCAAGTGATAAGCCCACTCGAGGATTAGTATTTTCGAAAGAAATTTAGCTCAGGGCTCAGTCCGACGTTTACATGTCAATTTGTCCAATAGAAGCGACCCTGAAAAATTACTACACGCTTAAGCAACTGATGTGTAAATATAACCAATTGGATTATTCAATAGGAAGAGCGAAAGTATAGAAACTCCTGCAGCCTGATGCATTCCGTTGCATCCTTGGTGCATCCCTGGTGCATCCCGATCAATTGCCAATAGATCTATATCTGTCTCTAAGTCCTAAGTAGATCTAGCCGTAGGCCGCAGATAAATTGTAGGTGCGATCGCGAGGAATAAAACGTGTAAAAAAGAAAATAGGAAAAAACGGCACGAGACCTAGTCCAGGAAGGGTCTGAAGTTGCAGCATGAGAATAAGTTTTATAATAAAAGGAAATGAGCACGTAAACGAGGAAGGAGTCATGCCATCTGTCACATGAGGCGCATCCTCCAGGAAGTCAAGTCCAGTCGAGGAGCTAAGGAAGCTCTGACGCTCGTGTGAAGACTGTTACCACATCGAATAGGTGGGTAGGTAGAGGTAGACGACATATATGTAGGCAGGCAGGCAGGCAGGCAGGCAGGCAGGTAGGTGGTTAACACACAGGAGGAGTATACTTTCACTACTAAAGTACAACAGAGAGTCCTCGAGAACGAGGAGAAGAAACCGTGGCAAAGAGTCTGGACACTACTGGGCCGACAGCACAGACAGCACAGAGAGCGCAGGCAGCGCTGCTATCCGTGCGCTATCGTCTCTTGGAGCGCAGGACGGTACCGCATCGCACTTGTAACTGACAGTTGGCGTCCCATAATACTTTATGCGGTTAAAATTCCATCATAAGTCTCGTCATTATAAATCAGCTCGATTGTCGCGACAAGTAGAGGCTTTTTACTATCCGAGCAGAAGCTGCTGAATCGAAGATAAATTTCTGTGCGGTTTTACGAGCATGATTTGCCGAAGCCGAAGGCGTCTTCGGTGCGATTGAATTTCCCATAGAAAAGTGAAGTGTAAGTGGAGTGTCAAGAAATTGCGGAATTAAAGTTTCGTTATCTTTTCCGAGACGCGTACGCGTAGTTTAGTGATTTTTGAAAAACTTCTTCCAGTTCAGTCAACTTTTTGACTCGGTGCGTGTCGAACACGTGTTTGCGATGGGACTGTGAAAAAAAATTGTTTAACTAGTTTATCGCCCTTTTTTTCGTAATGTGACAACTTGCTACCGAATCAGAGTCTAGAGTGCACCTGCGTACGGGCACTTTACACCAGAGGCAAAATACAAGAGGAGTTTAAATGAAAATTGACAAGACTTTGGGGCAGTTTGGCGATCGCCAATTATTTGCGCTCGCTCACATCGTGCGTGAGCCAATTCAAGGTGGTTACGTAAAGTGCGGCATGCCGTCTCATTAAATTGGCCGAACCTTGGGAGAGACTTTCATTTTCATTATCACCAAGTTACGTAAGCCCCGCTGTGGCTCCTCGAAAGGCAGGTACACTGTGCGCGCGAACGAACGCTAATAGCGAAAATCAAATTGCGCACGTGGCAAACGTATTTAAACGATAGACGCAACTATTGTTACGTGAACGAGAGAGTCGACTGATCGGACGGATAACACGTGGCTCGAAGTGAATATAACGAAATTTCTATTCAAACGCGCCAGATTGAGATCCTCGTGAACGAGAGGAAAGTCAGGTCGTGAATCGCAGCAAGTGAAAAACTGAGAAACTCTCGGAAAGACTTTGTGGCAGAATTATGTATAATTTGTAGTCGGCATTAGCCGACTAATTGCGTCGAATCTTAATTAAGGTTTGTGTAATGAATTTTTTTCCCCCCTATAAACAGGCAAGAGCGATGAGCTGCCGTCATTGCCAGCCGATGCGAGCGTAGAGGAAGTTCCGGTAGAGGAAGGAAGTTCCGGCTTGTCAGGAACGATAACAAGAGGAACAGGATATCCGAGGAGGTCTGTACTGTTGTCCCGACATGCACTGGGAGAATCAAGATTAGCAGATCGGCTCGAGTCAGGTAATGTACTTTTACGGCATTTCCTTATGGAGATAAACACACGCGCGCGCACGTGGTCGCGGGAGAAAGTGAACCGCGAGAAAAATTAGAAAAAATTATTTACGAAATTTCTAAAAAAATTCTCCATCGAATTAATAAATTGATCGTCGAACAAGAGAACTTTCTTTCACGAAATACGAAAATATTGAAAGATATCGGTCGATAGTCAACAAAAAAAAGAAAGCCTTACGCCGTAAGATGTGACGAACACGTGGCTTTGGGAAAGTTTATCTTTCTCAATGTCGAATAAATAATTTAAACTGTCACAACAATAAAAGTCGAATTACGGGATATAATTTATAAATAGAGAAATTCCGTCCGATAGCAGCACACGAATATTTTCATTATTGGTAAAACGTACCTGTGACGTCACGCCCGGAAATTCCCAACTCGATAATCCATGTACTCGCTGAAGATGCGCGTCTAGCGAAAAATCAATTCCAATCGCGTTTCAGGAGCTACTGTTGGGAATTGATCTAATAAAAAGGGAAAGGATTCGGTAAAGAGGATCACGCACTTCCGCATTTCCTAGAGCGCGTGTCCAGTAGATTTCAGCATTTCCACTGCTGCGCGTCGGACGCGAGCAAAGTCATTTCTATGCGTTAGACTAGCGAAATTGCCCATCGCGATATAATTTCACTTCCTTCGTCCAAGTTATTGTTCCACGTGAGCTAATTTCCTTATGGCGAAAATATATCGTGACACGGAGACAAAGGAAGTATATTCTAATTTTAAAAAATATTCACATACCGAATAGAGGTAAAAAAAATTCTTTGGAAATAATCTCCAGTTCACTTCCGGTTTGCCATTTCGAGCTATTGAAATTTCCAAGGTACAACGATACGATTCCCCTTCAGAAATATCTCCCACGTATACAGGCAGAGACGAACAGCGTGGGCCCAATACTGAAAGAGTCATCGGCTCATCGGCGACCACTTCGGTAAAGGCAAGAAATAGCCTTGCCGCGAAAAGTAGCTCAGACATTTTAAAGACCCATTTATCAAGCCGAGTCTAATCTACCAAAGCAGCTGTACGATTTACGCGCCTCGTGAGAAAGTCCAATTCACTCTAGCACTCCGCTCGCGTGTCTAGCCAGAAAAGGAAATAAACAAACGAGAGTAACGATTGGGTCAAAATAATGAAAAATTTATAATCAAGCCGGAAGAACATTGGGAAAGACATTCTTCGTCTTTCGCAGCATCCGGACCGGATGCTGAGACTGTTCGAACGATGGAATTCTAGTGATAAAAAAAATTATCATCCGATAACGAGAGATTCACGCCCGAGAGATTTGCAGTGTTAACCGTGACTTCCGTGCAGAAGGGAGAGGGAAGAAAATAAAAGAAGTACAAGGTTTACGATGGCGAAACACTTTCTCCTTTCCCCGTTATGAGATCACCATCTCGCTCCTCCGTCTAAGCATCTAAACTTTGTGTTGTACGTGCGGCTACCTAACCTCGGCTAACCTAAACGAATACAAAGAACCAGTCGGTATATCCGTAACAGGGATAGCAACGTTGCCTTAGAAAGGATCAGGATTCCCGCTTGGTACAATCGCTTCGTGATAACTTTTGTCACTATACCTTCACTCGAATTCCCTCCTTGTCCTCGAATTAGGTTCCTCGTTGGAAACGGTGCTTAAAATCTTAACGCAGAGTCTTCTCGCAAGAAAATGACAACAAAATTGTTCTTCTGACACTCTACTATGCTCGTGACGTATACATAAATAACTTTAGTGTAATAGGTTTTCATACCCAAGTTAAAGACGGAGGCTACGTCACACATATGTATCTTATATGCATATATAATCTATAAAAATATATAAAAGAAGTTGGTATCTACGTTGCCTCTAAATTCAAAAACCCCCTGAAGCGACTTTAAAAACTTTTTCGCCCATCTTTAGGATTAACATAGGTTATGTACGTGTATCGTTACGGTACGTCGAAGAGGTGCTGAAGCGATTAGTGAAAATGTAAAGCAAGTCGAAAAAATGCAAAGTCCCGGATAGATGCTTAGGGATAGTAAAAAATAGTGCTGCCCGACTTGAGTCGAACTTACGCGCTGACTTTTGAAACTTTTGAAGACTGGATTAGAACTGGATTGAAATTTGTAAATTTTCTCAAAACGCATCTGCAAATATCAGAGACGGTGATTCGTGGCTTCTTACCTGTAACAGAAAAAAAAAATTAATTACATTTAGATTTTTATTCCAATTATGGATATTATTATTCGCTCCATGCGTAAATACAAGTATAGATATACCACAATGAACGACTGTGCAAATTTAAGTGTATGCTATTTGCGCTAATTCAATTGCTTTATCAAGCCCGGAGTAAACGTCGATAAAAGGTGGCTATTTCTTTTTTTTCGAAAATACGATATACCTAGGAATGACCGAAGGATAAAGAAACCGAACTAATGAGGTATAAAGGCGGAATAAGGCAACTCGAGCGTAATTTTCACGGTCGCAAATGCAGGAGAATTTCCGCGGGAAATTCAAGGGAAACGATAGACGCAAAATGCCCGGGCTCCGAGTTTTCCTCCGGGATACCGATCTACAGATGATTCTGCGATATTCGAAAAGAAACTCTTCTTCGCGAAAATTCTACCGGCCACGCGCGTTACTAGCCTCTCAGTCCGTTTCCCTTGTGAAACAGCAAGGACGGAGGCTCGCGGGGGAATTTTGGGACCACGGAAGGTAACTAGAAAACCGAAATGAAACGGGCAGACGGAATTCAAAGAAAATATAACACAAGGCCCCTTTGTATTAGGACGGCATGAAAAATATAAGGGTGGACACCCCCCGATAGCTAGGTCCCTGTGATAACAGAAATTACAAAATTTCGCGAGAAAACGATTTAGTAACAGAAAGACAATAGTAGACGCGCGAACAATCGCAAGTGATCCTGATGATCGGGATAACAACGTGAGGATAACCCTGGCAACGGTAGGGCAAAGGCGCAACAGTGAATAATCAACCGGACGGATAGCCCTGTGACTAGCAGTTATACGACAGAGCACTGCCACTGAGGAACCCTAAGCAATGGCATGTCACGCAGAAAGGCAGGGGTGTGCAACAATGGAAAATAATCGAAAACAAATGAAAAACTGAATAAGATGAAATAAATAAAATTGGAAAATAAATGTATCTTTAGAGTTCGAAATTGGCAAAGCAAAGTAAGATAGGCTCTCAAGTACTTGTCGCGATCAGGAAGCGATAGGGACATGAAGCCTCAGAACTCACCAGTAGTAACGAGAAGGAAACGACAAGACGTCCAATCGGCACCACGAAGAGACAATAATAGAACGATCTATCGGTTGGCCATAAGTATAAATAGACCAGATATAGCCACTCTCTGTATTGTGATTGGTCGACTTTACGTACGTATGTGTCGTCACACCGCAATGTCGGTTCTATTTCGCGGTGCCATCTTCTTACATATTTAAATGTAAACAAGTCCCCTCAAAATAAAACTGATGTCGCCTTCAACACCGAGTTTACAGAATACGTCATTCTGACATACGTGAACAATTGCACGAATCGCTTAGATTTCTCTCCCCTGCCACTTATGCCGACTGTAATAAATCTAATTTTGTATAATGTTAAATATTCCAAGGTCGTAGTGTGTGTATTTGTATTAAGTGTTTTTGCCTAAAATAGGTTGTTTTCTTAAGGAAAATATGTGGATTCACGCGTCGATTTGGTGCGTGTCCGTAGAGATGGATATGTAAAAGACAAGTCGGTTAACCAAGTGCTAACGTGAGGCGACTGGTCACTGCGCCCTTTTTACCAAACTAACAATGAGATCGCTAGTGGCTATACCTGGTCTACTTGCATAGTGAGGGCTAGGCGTTCAGCCAGCTGCGAAATGCCCACCCTTAACCCATTAGGCCATTAACGACGAAGATCCTTGACTTTTCAACATGTGTTTGAGCCTCAATTTCTGTAACAGAGGAGTAAATGGATCGAGTTCCTCGTGTTTTCGAATATGCTCTAACGGAATCCGGGCTCGTCGTTAATGGGTTAATATATCCCGTTAGGCCCTCTGACGAACATCTACGCGCGCCACAATCTATTCAATTAATTGGCAGTCTTCGATTCCTCGCGGGGCGCCTTTCGGGTCAGAGTGCACAGGGCCCTTGGCGCGTACGATACGGAAACGGGCCCCTCCAGCTCCTCCTTTGTGAGATACGAAAAAGAATTGGTCACTAACGAAATCTTAATAATTCAACTGGATCCATGGACTGTTTTGCCGCGGTGGTAAAGAAAAGAACGTGGCAGTAAATCCGCCACGCTCGAAAACACGAGAGCTAAGCCTCACGACAGTGACGTCAATTCTACAATATATGTATAAAAAGTGTTGTAACAGCTGTGCAATTTTCTTCGTCCACCGTCAAATATTATGCAGCACGTGTCGTACCATAAACGGAACACACAATTGATCGACACAGTTGGCAGTGATGCATTTCTATTGGTACAATCATAACGAGCTATGTTAATTCTTAAAATTTATTATTATTATTCAAACATCAGTTAATTAGTATTTTGATTGGTAAACAATTAAACTGCCTTTACTCCAGTCATTCGCTGCGAATACATTCCTCCATACTCTATTTCTATCATTTTTCAGGAAACGGACAGCTACTCAAGTGCGAATCCTGTCTGCTGATTATCGCTATGATATCCTTTCCGCCCTGTGGAAGAAGACTCGAAAAAATGCGGACGAGACCACCAGATATCTGTTCGTGACGTCACTTTCTGGGACTCTTCTGACAGAACAGCAGGAAGCCAACGCGACAGCCCGAATAGATTAAAAATAGTTTGATAAGACTAGCGGGCGAAAAATAAAAAAAATTATTAATGATTAATTAATAAGTTAAGAAAGTTAATATTCTAGTGAAAAGTGTGCGATAACAGTGAGAAATGGTGTTCGGTGCGATAGTAGTGACGTCAGCATTGAAGGGAGCCATTGGCCTCGTAGGTAGCAGCCTTTGGCTGATACCCCTTCTTATCGCTGGTTTGTCATATTATAGATACGATCAATTGGATCCGGAAAGTCGACCGATCGATCGATATCCAGTCGATCCGATTTACGACTTTGTGGTGATCGGCGGCGGATCGGCCGGTGCAGTAGTAGCCAGCAGACTCTCCGAGATAGCAAGCTGGCAGGTACTGCTCCTGGAAGCTGGTCCGGACGAGAACGAGATCACAGACGTCCCGTCGCTGGCTGCTTACTTGCAGCTGACCAAGCTGGACTGGAAGTACAAAACTGAGCCGACCGGAAAGGCTTGTCTGGCCATGAACGGCGGAAGGTGCAACTGGCCCCGAGGGAAGGTCCTGGGAGGCTCGAGCGTCCTGAACTACATGCTCTACGTCAGAGGCAACAGGCGGGACTACGATCACTGGGAGGCCCTCGGGAATCCAGGCTGGGGCTACGAGGAGGCCCTTCGCTACTTCAAGAAGTCCGAGGACAACAGGAATCCCTACCTCAAGGACAGTCCCTATCACGGTACTGGTGGATACCTGACGGTCCAGGAGGCGCCCTGGAAGACGCCGCTGGTCGTCGCCTTCGTGGAGGCTGGCACTGAGATCGGTTACGAGAACAGGGACATAAACGGGGAGTACCAAACGGGATTCATGATAGCTCAGGGTACCATACGCAGAGGGAGCCGATGCTCGACGGCGAAGGCCTTCCTGCGACCGGTGCGCCTCAGGAGGAATCTTCACACGGCAATGAACTGCCACGTCACCAGGATCATCGTCGACCCGAGGACGATGAAGGCCGTCGCCGTTGAATTTCATCGGGACGGACGGAAGCAGATCGTCAGAGCGCGCAAGGAGGTGATCCTCTCGGCTGGCGCCGTCAACAGTCCCCAGATTCTGATGCTGTCGGGCATCGGCCCGAAGGAACATCTTCGTCAGCTTGGTATCCCCGTGCTGAAGGACCTGCGCGTGGGCGACAATCTTCAGGATCACGTTGGCATCGGCGGAATAACCTTCCTCATTGACAAACCTGTCGCCATCGTTCAGAACAGGTTCCACCCGGCACCGGTTACCATGCACTACGTGGCCAACGGCAGGGGCCCGATGACCACCCTGGGAGGCGTCGAAGGATACGCCTTTGTAAATACTAAATTCGCGAACGCATCTGGGACCTATCCCGACGTGCAGTTCCACATGGCCCCGGCCTCGATAAATTCCGACGGCGGTCTTCAGGTGCGCAAAGTTCTGGGCATCACGGACGAAGTTTACGACGCCATAGAGTATTTAGAAACTATCGAATCCCAATTTGAGTCGCCAGCATGTTCTAGAACTGCTCGAATTAGCAACTCCAATTATTGAACCTACCGATAGAGAATCCGATACCGCAGTATCGGGAACATTGTTAATATCCAAAATCAATGATAACTTTGCTGTTACGGCGGCCGTGCCTATCTTGCCTTTTTATTTGATTTGTGGTTTCGGCATCTCTGCAATCTACGTCGATTCATATCACAAGACGAAACTGTAATGGAGAAATTTTGAAAAATCAAAATTCATTACACATGGCACCTTCGAAGGACAAGTGGGTGCGGCGTTTCGTCATTACAGAGACGAAGCGACATAAAAAAGGATTCACAATTTACAGAGTTACATCATTGGTACAAACACAAAACATTCTGTACTCATTTTATAATTCATTTAATAGTCTACCATTATGTGAGTCTATATTATTAAAAACGCTTACATGGTACATTTTTATGCCTGTGTACAGACAGAAACAACTGTGTTCCTGGTACTAGAGTATGCAAGTGGCGGAAAACTGTGGGAACATGTTTACAGGCCCATCGCCAACAAGGATGCCTGGACCATCATACCTCTGCTGCTAAGACCCAGGTCCAGGGGCACCATCAGACTGAGGAGCGCCGACCCGTTCCAGAGTCCCATAATCGACGCGAATTACTTTGCCGAACCCTTCGACGTCGCGACGCTCCTCGAGGGTGCCAAAATCGCCATGAAGGTCAGCGAGGGTCAGGCGTTCAAGCAGTTTGGCACGCGAATTCATCGAGCCAAGATTCCTGGATGCAGACATTTCAAATTCGCCTCCGACGCCTACTGGGAGTGTCACATTCGTCATATATCCATGACGATTTATCATCCTGTCGGAACTGCCAAAATGGGACCACCTACCGATCCAAGTGCAGTAGTCGATCACAAGCTCAGGGTCTACGGGGTCCGCGGCTTGAGAGTGATCGACGCGTCCGTCATGCCCACCATTTCCAGTGGAAATACGAACGCTCCTGTTATCATGATTGCTGAGAAAGGTGCTGACCTGATTAAGACCGATTGGCTGTCGACCAATGCTAGATGATACTGGCCATCATTCTCAATTGTCAATCGCCGATTAACCTGGAGCTTGGAGAAGCCAATGTGCGCATGCGCAGATCGCGGTTCCAGTCCTTCAGGCGCTCTAGAGATTTCGCACTTTCTCCTAGAGACTTTTTATCCTAACTTCACGAAGAATTTTCGTCATTGATTTCATCCGAAAGACGTTTGCTCTTCCGACGAAAATGAAGTTTCGATGGCATCTTGTGACGTTCACGGTCGAAATTTTCGTACGAATGCAACCGACGCCTACTGGGAGTGTCACATTCGTCATATATCCATGACGATTTATCATCCTGTCGGAACTGCCAAAATGGGACCACCTACCGATCCAAGTGCAGTAGTCGATCACAAGCTCAGGGTCTACGGGGTCCGCGGCTTGAGAGTGATCGACGCGTCCGTCATGCCCACCATTTCCAGTGGAAATACGAACGCTCCTGTTATCATGATTGCTGAGAAAGGTGCTGACCTGATTAAGACCGATTGGCTGTCGACCAATGCTAGATGATACTGGCCATCATTCTCAATTGTCAATCGCCGATTAACCTGGAGCTTGGAGAAGCCAATGTGCGCATGCGCAGATCGCGGTTCCAGTCCTTCAGGCGCTCTAGAGATTTCGCACTTTCTCCTAGAGACTTTTTATCCTAACTTCACGAAGAATTTTCGTCATTGATTTCATCCGAAAGACGTTTGCTCTTCCGACGAAAATGAAGTTTCGATGACATCTTGTGACGTTCACAGTCGAAATTTTCGTACGAATGCAAATATAATTTAAGGGTGTACACACTCGAGTGTCATTGCGTGCCATAACGTTATGCATAGTGATTGTACACGATGTTACTCTGAACTCTTTGTTTTACGTCAGAAAGTAATTTTTGAAAGTGATAAACAAAACTCACCTTGAGCAATTATCCAGGATGAAAAATTACTTTGTCACGTGACTTCGATATTACGCGAAATTACAAGAATTATTTTGCCAGACGGTGTTTCCATTGGCTGTGGTCAGCAGACGCAAGAAACGCATTTAAATGCTCAACTTTTACAGCTGTTGCAATATTTACGATCGATCGACTAACCGAATGCATTTGCTGTCTCGGTTCAGTCTTTTTGTTGGATGCAGCCAGATTAAGGAAAAAAAGGTTGCCAACCGGAAATTAAGGGCTGATGAGCCATTGTAGTCGAGAATCTGCGATTTTTCGCATTTTTTTTTTTCACAACTACCCAAATGTTTAGTTCGAATACCAAGTAGTATAGACTAAGTACAAGTGTTGAATAGAGAATTTTTGTAAAAATAATAAAATTCAAGTTATTGTAAATGCACTTTTCGTAAGTTTATCCTCTGGAAATCCTGTGTTTAGTTCGAATACCAAGTAGTATAGACTAAGTACAAGTGTTGAATAGAGAATTTTTGTAAAAATAATAAAATTCAAGTTATTGTAAATGCACTTCTCGTAAGTTTATCCTCTGGAAATTCTATGTCTCTAAAAATTGTCACCTAAAATACGAGGAACTATGTCAAAGGACACACATACGTACACGAATACACACGCGCTCCACATGAAAGCTTTAATAATTCTATACTATTGTGAAAGCAGCCTTATATTAACTAGAAATTCGGTGTGAACGGTAGCTTCACGTACAAAGTGTATTTGATTGTGTTGTGTATTCGTAAATTACCAACAACACCATCCAGAGTACAAAGAGGTAAAGAAGGCAAAGTAGTCAGCGCCATCTGTCGTGTAAAAAAGTAAATGGACGACGGAACTGAAATAAAATCATCTCGCTCGCCATCTCAATACGCCCTGATCTCGTACACTAATCGTATTGAACGTGGTGACAATCAATTCAGAAGCCTCAATTCCTATACTGCATGTATCAATAACTTTTTCTCATGTATAGCGGTTAATAAGATATTTCGTTCCAAACACAGGTATATTAAGAGTCGACTCAAGTAAAGAGTCTCTGCGAGCTGTACCCTTTTGCCAATTGTCGCTTGGCTAAGTAATACCGAATGGACAGGAGCACTACGGTTAAGCTGCCGAAAATCAGGTATAATTCCACTCCCTCCAATATTAAGTGATCTCGTACACTAATCGTATTGAACGTGGTGACAATCAATTCAGAAGCCTCAATTCCTATACTGCATGTATCAATAACTTTTTCTCATGTATAGCGGTTAATAAGATATTTCGTTCCAAACACAGGTATATTAAGAGTCGACTCAAGTAAAGAGTCTCTGCGAGCTGTACCCTTTTGCCAATTGTCGCTTGGCTAAGTAATACCGAATGGACAGGAGCACTACGGTTAAGCTGCCGAAAATCAGGTATTGATTTAGACTCAATTATAGAGGCTCTTCAATTAATTATAAATTATTTGACATTTTTGTTTCTGTTTTTCCTGTTTTAATAGTGCAACTCGATGAAGGCAAAAAGGGCCATTTTATCAATTATTGCTATTTGACCTCGTCCATAGAGTGGATATATTGGACGTGTGGAAACTGAGCTGAACAATAAAACTTGAATAATTGACCAAGGATTTCTGCAGCTATCCTGGTAAATTGGCACGTGAGAGAAGAGTACATCATAATTAACGACGATTATTCGCAAAGACAATTTAACTCAATAATGGAAGGTATCATGAATTTTGTATGGTATGGATAGATGATTGTAATTGTAGGTATGCGAGTGGATAATTTTTGTTTTGAATTTTATAAATATGTTAATTCAAGAGGAGAATGTTTCAGGTTCTTTTGTATTGAAGAATAATTTATATTTTTCTTTTTTCTTGTGTGTAAATATATGTAGATATAGATAATTCAATTGTTAAAATCATTAAATTGTTATGTTATAAAACAATAACGTACGTCACCTCTGTTCATTCTTCGTCGCAATCTGCATTGTTTATTCTAAAAGTTCGCTGCTTCGCAATACAAAAAGTAAATACGCATCGAGAATATTGCAGATAACTAAAATATAATAAATTTACTTGTGCAGCTGCAAAAATAAAGTATTCTAGGTTTGACCGCGTAAAGAATGTACCGAGGAAAATGATACTTTTAAATATTGTAAGAGGAAAGAGACGTAAAGCGGGAAGCATAAATGAATCTCAAGAATAGCGTTGTAAATTAACGCCATTGCACTAGAAATTGAACGTCTATTCCCGAATATTCGAATCTCACAAGAGCTAAGTGATTGCAACGATCGGTACCAATCCTGTCTCACGTGTCCCCATAGGAGATGAGGAGGAATACGAAAGAAGCAAAGCTGAGGAATCGGGTAGTCCTATTGGACGCGGATCTGAACATGTAACGTCCATCCATGTGTCGTCCAATATTGTGACATCAGTCGCAAGCGGTGGCCGCGAACGTTTCTCTTTGTTTTGGTATCGTCAAACGGATCTAAAAAGATTCAACCAATCTGGCCAAAAGTACAAAAGCACAAGCTCCGAAAGGTCCCGGCTACGAAGCTCTGGCGGTGCGCAGCTAAGGAGAAAAGAATCGTCTGGACCAGAGCACGCATCCTGGCGATCCACATAAGCAGAAGATTTGCTGAGCGTGATCGAGATTCGGAGGTCATCAGGTCGACAGGGGGTTGTGGCGATGGCACGGAGCCTCGTAGGATTTGCGAAGTGGAGGGGGCAGGGAGGCAGGAGGGGCAGAAGTAGACGCGATTACCGTTTGCTGAAGATAAGGCTGCAGTGGTCAGATGAGCTATGAAAGATACTCAGATGGTCAAGACGAGTGAAGAGCGCGAGCGCTCTGAGGTGGCAGATCTAAACGCGAATCTGACTGGACTAGGTGGTACATCAAAGTGCGCCTCCTGAGAAGCTGCGCCACTTTGGAGATCCGTAGCGTCACTCACGGGGTGGTGGTCCAGCCAAGGGACACACGTGTTTGCGTTCTCTTGAATTATCGCGAGTTCATCGTATCGTTTAGCGCTGAAGGTTCTTGGAAACCAGGATCAGCTGTTCCTGTGGACGTGACAATTACCGGATGACGTTAAGTGAGAGTCAAGGTTTTTTTTCTACACTTTCTTTAACTTTTGTCAAGTTGGCCCCCTATTGTGCAAATTAAAAAAAAAAATATGATTAACCCTAGAACGGTACACATACCTTTTTACGCCTACTAATGCTTTGGGCATGTGTGACCCATGTGTACCGTTCTAGGATTATTTATCGGATTTGCCAGCTTAAAGACCGTTCTGAATAATAATACAAAACATGTGTTTAATATATCAAATAATCGATCCGTGACGTCATTACTGACGAATCAAGAAAATAAAGTAGCAACAAGTACAGCGGCAACAGCCAGAATAGAAGCTCAAAAAAAGAATAGTGAGCAAAGAATAAAAGATAAGGAATAAGATGGACCGACGTACTAGAAAATTAAAAGGTAGTTATTCGGGTGGGCACGTAATGTTGTTTCTTAGAAAGAATAATTACATTTGAATTATTGCATGACATTAAAAAATTCCCAAGGATCCGTGATCCACGCTGTCGTGTGAAAGATGAACGGAGAAAAGTTGCGATTAAGGAGAAATAAAATTTAATTTTAAAATTTTCCCAGACTTTGTAATCCTAATATTTTCGATGCTTATATTTAACTTCACTTTTGCGACATCTCGGGAAAATTATTCTAGAGTAAAGAAGAAAAATAACGTCCCAAAAGAAATATCCAATATATCGAATAGAGCTCCGGCAGAAGGTTTAACGTCAGCCCAGCTGGTGACCAGGGTGTCCACGAGGGTTCCACATCGACTAGACACGATGCGTAGCCGAGGATTCAGTTCCAGGATCCTCTACCTGGTGGCGTTCGCGTTCCTGGGCTCCCTCGCTGATAGGAACGAGGAGAAGGAGCTGAAGAAACTGATGAATCTGCCCGATCATATAAGCAAAAAGATCTTGGACGGTTCTGCCAAAGATGAAATACCGGACAAGACGCCAGGCTCGTCCGCGGAATACGACTTCGTCGTGATCGGCGCCGGAGTCGGCGGAGCCACCGTAGCCGCTAGACTCTCGGAGATCCCGGAAGTTAGCGTCCTCCTGCTCGAGGCTGGAGGAGAAGAGAACGCCCTGATGGACATCCCTCTATCGGCCCACTACCTGCAGTTCCCGAGCTTCCTCAACTGGAAGTACGAGACCGAGCCTTCGGACACGTATTGCCTGGGGATGAAGGGTCGAAAATGCAAATTGCCCAGGGGAAAGGTCATAGGCGGAAGTAGCGTCCTCAATTACATGATAGCGACGAGGGGCAACTCCAAGGATTACGACCGCTGGGCTGACCTGGGCAACGACGGCTGGTCCTACGACGACGTTTTGCCTTACTTCAAGAAGCTGGAAGGCTTGGACATCCCAGAACTTAACGAGGATACGAAATTTCACAATAGAAATGGACCCGTCAGCATCGTTCATCCTCCTTATCGCACGCGTATTTCCGAGAGTTTCCTGGAAGCTGGCGTCAAGATGGGATACGAAATTCTAGACTACAACGGGAGGAACCAGACCGGATTCTCCTTCGAACAGACCACCACGAAGAACGGCCAACGGATGAGCAGTAACAGAGCCTACGTGCGTCCGGCCAGGCACCGGGACAACCTGGTCGTGTCTAAGCACAGCTTGGTCAGTGAAATTTTAATAGACAAACTCACCAAGAGAGCCTATGGCGTAAAGTTCCGGAAGACACTGAAAGAGATGACGGTTCTGGCGAGGAAGGAAGTGATCTTGTGCGCAGGCGCAATAGGATCGCCGCAGCTGCTGATGCTATCGGGGGTCGGTCCTCGGGATCATCTCAAGGAAATGGCAATAGAGCCGATCCAGGACGCTCCGGTTGGTGACAATTTTCAGGATCACCTGTTCTACGGCGGTCTGGTATTTCTGATCGATGAACCGATATCGATCTTAAGAAGAGATGTTCTCAATCCATTCATGGGATACTTGTTAAAGTACGTGATTGCGAAAACTGGTCCGTTGACTGTACCGGGGGGAACGGAGGCTCTGGCCTTCATCGACGTCAGTGGCACACCGGAAACGAAGGATTACCCTGACCTGGAGCTACTGCTGTTCAGCAGTTCTCTTCTCGGCGATTCAACGATCCAACTTGCACTCGGCATCAGTGACGAACTCTGGAAAGAGACATTTGCCAAGTACGAAGGACACCATTCCTGGATGGTCGCGCCGATAATCCTCAGACCCAAGAGTCGAGGTCTTATACGTCTCAGGGACAAGAGCATCTCCAGCAAGCCCAAGATCGTAGCTAACTACATGGATGACCCTGATGACGTCAGGGTCCTCATAGCTGGGATCAGAGCCAGCATTGCTCTCAGCCAAACGGACCCAATGCGTGAGCTTGGCTCGCGACTGATTGACGTTGTGCTTCCACCCTGCAAGCACCATCCATTTAGCTCCGATGCCTATTGGGAATGTGCGTTGCGCACTTTGACCTTGAACCTCTATCATTACTCCGGCACCTGCAAAATGGGACCACGGAACGATTCGACGGCCGTTGTCGATCCTAGACTAAAGGTAACTTTGACTGTAGCCATTATTGTAAGCAGTTTGCTCTTACACGGATAGACACGGAAGATCTCATTGAGCACTATTGATCTTTCAGGTGATCGGTATCGAAGGACTTCGAGTGGCAGACGCATCTATAATGCCCGAAATTCCATCGGGTCACACAAGTGTGCCAACTTACATGGTAGCCGAAAAGTTGGCAGACATGGTCAAGCAGGACTGGGGTTATCCCACGGATCCACTTCCATCATAAATAATGAACGAGATCGAGAGGGAAGTTTCCAAAGATCTTGGCTACCGGAAATAAATGGGCCTCAGACAAAAATTCCTATCTCTAATTAACCATTCTGAACCATCAAACAGTCTTTATAATTTATAATTGTCTAGTCGCAAAATACAATAAACAAAATAAAGCAAGGAGATTCGCACAAGGGTGCAGCCGCAGCTGCTTCCGTGTCTGACGATTACGTTGCGTCGGATTGGATCCCATGAATGTCACGAGTAAATGTCATCCAATTAATCCGTAGCTATCGATTGTCACTTGTCGCCCTGATTTAGCCACTTTACTTTATCATTCGTTCGCCCCATTTTCGTGCGAATGCCAATTTACCCGTAACGTTAAACACCTGTACAAACACTCTGTATGAAGTTACAAGGTCGGTGGCTGGAATCGAATAGAAATTCCAAAAAATTGTTCGATATCGATCGGCGATTGACGTCGACTGTTTAGCGACATTTTTGAAGGAAAAAAAATCACAATGATCTATTTCTATTCCCCAGCATCGTGACGCAACAGACTTTTCGTACAGTCGGATCAAGTTAACCGTTGCACATGGTGCACCAAGAGGTGTTAGTTATACTGAATTAAAAAGTGGGTAATTGTAGTTGCACTCGAACAATGGCAAGTAGGGAGAAAATAAAGACGCATTTAAATTATAGGCTGCATCGCTGGTACGTTCAGGATATCTATTGTCAGTGGACTTTGAATATTATTAATCTGTAATTCATTTGTATTCCTAGGGCAAATCCATTACGTGTAACGCTTTCAAGATTACCTCTGATTTCCTAACGTGCGAATGATTCGTTTTCGAAGACGCAGATGGAAAGAGTTATTGTGGATAGAGAGAAGAGAGACGTGACTGGTCGAAGTAGCAATGGGAAGAATAAAATTATGCGAGAAACAGGCAAATTAAGGACAATAAAGGTGAAACCGGCAGAAAAAAAAAGTTCCGTCTTAGAGTGACCCAACCAAACCTGATAACGAGAAATATTTCTTACTCGTAGAAATAGTCGCCCACGTGACTCCAAAGTATCGCAAGAATCGCCTTAAGCGGAGGAAGTGGTTCTATCCGGAAATCCTATAGTGGAGCAATTTGAAAATATGACGAATTTGCACTTCGCGTTTGTAAACTCCACCGAATACGCAAAATAGTGTTATTGTCATGTGTAATACGGCAATTGCAAAAACGCTCGATCAGCTTCTAAAGACTCTGCACTGTTACATAACCTGAGGATCCGCATTTCGTTTACCCTGCGCATAGCAGACCGGTGGATATCCACCAGTGACAAAGTCCCGTTCTTCGTTCTCTGTCGATTCTCGCGAATTCGGGACATTTTTTGTCCGTGAAAATATTACTTGCCAATAGTCACGAGTATCGATCGAAAAAGAATTAATGGACCATTTTAAAGAGCGATGCAAGGCTGATGGATTATTCGTGGCAAGTGAAAATTTTGTAAAAGATTGTGAAAGGCGATAAGGTGACGTTAAGAAATCCAAGAAATTATATCACGCGTGTAACACGCTAAATTAGTGATTCACGAGCAGCAGGTAGTCGTGAGCGTATATCGGCGAATCGATCGAAAAATCATCCGTTCGACCTGAGTGATAAATATTAATTAGGAAAAATATCGAATTTACGTGCGATAGGGTGAACTACGTCCTGCACGTCGAAGCTGTGTTGACTCGTAAACCGAAAATGAGGACGTCCGTAAAAAAATCGTGTACCGAAACATTGAGTAAGCGGTAAACGCGAATAGAATGAATCAGTCGATGCTGAAATCTGAGTGTATAGTCACGGATTGATTATCATGAAGTTCTTATGCAACGCGAGGATTCGCGTGAAGCGATAAATTCGAACAAATTGAATTATCGAATTGAATCGACGAGCTACGAATATCATTGACGGACTGCAAAACATAATTGCTTCTACGAAGCATGAAACTCGTAGATACCGTGTTATTACCATGTTACGGATCTATAATAACAATCATAATATCGTGGCAGGACTCTCGAAAAGTTTGTTTGCTGAATCTAATTTTGAAAACAAAATACTTAAATAAGATCTTCGGATTGATTATTATTTTTGGTAATTAAGCGACTAAAGAATTTTTACTTCGTACGGTTATCTTCTTTTTCTCAGCTTGATTGATTACCCACCAATTCCGTCGAATCGTGCAATTATAACGATATTACTGACATTGATAAATCATTCGGGAGGATTTCACGGTCTTTTTACCAATTCCTTTGTGTCTGTAATTATTTTCAATTCGAGTTACATTCCACGAGTATTATTCACGAGCATTAATTTAAGGTTAAGGATGTGATTAGTCGAGCGCTGGGCGGTAGAAGAAGAAACTTTAGCGAAAAATAAGTTTTTAGATAACAACGTGGCGATGAAGTTCAATAGAACATAAACGACAAATGGAAATGAAACGACAATGAGATGAACGTTAGAATTTAGGTCGTTCGGAAGATCCAGCAACGCAGCCTCCCGAACGAAAAAATAAATTTTCATACGCAGCCTCGATATCCATACGATGCAAAAACACAATTCCTGAATGACGCAAGTTCGCGGGTAATCACGTGTATGAGATGCCTATATATACATCCAATAGAGTCGCCGGCAGAAGGTATAACAACGTCACCCCAGCCTGCGACTCGACTTGATCGTTCGGCCGCGAATAGACAAGGAACAGGCACAGAGCGCGTAAGTGACAGGACACGGGTGGAAAATGCGCGGGTCCAGGGTGCCTCTGAGGATCCTCCAGGTGATTGCGTTCGCATTCCTCAGTCTCGTAAGTGGTGGCAGTAGGAAGTTCTTCGGCAGACTCTATGGAAACAATGCGCCGGAGAGGCCGCTCCTGGGCAGCCTGCCGTATCTGCCCCGTGGAGTCATCAACTTCTTCCTGGAGGGCGAGAGATTCAGGAATGAAAAAACGAGAGACACGACGCCAATGACGTTCGCGGAATACGACTTCGTGGTGATCGGAGCCGGAACTGCTGGTGCAGCGGTGGCCTCCAGACTCAGCGAGATTCCTGAGGTTACCGTCCTCCTGATCGAGGCTGGAGGGGAAGAGAGCCTGCTGATGGACGTTCCTCTTCTGGTGAACTACCTTCAGTTCAGCAACGACGTCAACTGGAAATACCAGACCGAACCGTCGAGCACGTATTGCCTGGGGATGAAGGATCGCCGCTGCAACCTGCCGAGGGGAAAGGTCATGGGCGGAAGTAGTGTCCTCAATTACATGATAGCGACGAGGGGCAACTCCAAGGATTACGATCGCTGGGCTGACCTCGGGAACCACGGCTGGTCCTATGACGAAGTCTTGCCGTACTTCAAGAAGATGGAAGCCATGGCAATTCCAGGATTACGACGGGATACGGAAATGCACGGCACAAACGGACCTGTCAATATCGATTACATCCCTTATCACACGCCCGTTGCCGAGAGTTTCCTGGAAGCTGGCCTCGAGGCCGGATTCAAGATCCTCGACTACAACGGTAGGAATCAAACCGGATTCTCCTATCTTCAAACGACGACGAAGAACGGTATGCGCCTGAGCAGCAACAAAGCTTACCTACAGCCGGCGAGGAACCGGAAGAACCTCTTCGTCACCAAGAACAGCCTGGTCAGCCAAATTCTAATAGACAAGCCGACCAACAGAGCAATCGGCGTCAAGTTCCTCAAGCACCGGAGAGAAATAGTGGTGAGAGCGAGGAAGGAAGTGATCTTGTGCGCAGGCGCGATAGCGTCGCCTCAGCTGCTGATGTTGTCGGGGGTCGGTCCCGCGGCTCATCTTCGGGAGATGGGCATAGCGCCAGTCAAGGACGCTCCGGTAGGTGAAAATTTCCAGGATCACATAGCCTACGGCGGACTGGTCTTCCTGATCGATAAACCGATATCGATTTTGACCAGGGACATAATAAATCCACTGAATCCGTATCTGCGGGATTATCTCGATAGAAAAACTGGTCCCTTGTCTGTACCGGGAGCCTGCGAGGCTCTGGCCTTCCTGAACGTGACCAGCACGCCCGAAGACTTTCCTGACATGGAATTGCTGTTCCTCGGTGCCTCCCCTTTGTCCGATCCGTCGTTGCATTATGCGATTGGCATAAGTGAGGAATTGTGGAGAGCAGCTTTTGCCAAGTACGAAGGACGTTACTCGTGGATGGTCGCGCCGATGATCCTCAGACCCAAAAGCCGCGGTCGGATACTTCTGAGGGACAAGAAGATCTTCAGCAAGCCCAGGATCATAGCGAACTACCTGGATGATCCTGATGACGTCAAGGTCCTCACGGGGGGCATCAGGGCCGCCATAGCTTTGAGCAAAACCCGCGCGATGCGCAGAATCGGCTCGCAGTTGGTTGACCTTGTAAATCCGGTCTGCCGGGAACACGAGTATGACTCGGATCCCTATTGGGAATGTGCACTTCGCACTTTGACCCTGAACATCTACCATTATTCTGGTACCTGCAAGATGGGACCTGAGAAAGATCCCACGGCTGTTGTTAACCCGAGACTACAGGTATCTTTAATCGATGTCAATACTAATTATTTATTACCGCCTAACCAATTTTCCACCCTAAGACATCTCTTGTCCCGATGTCTTTCAGGTGATCGGTATCGATGGACTTCGAGTGGCGGACGCGTCTATAATGCCCGAGATTCCATCGGCTCATACAAATATACCAACTTACATGATTGCCGAAAAGTTGGCGGACATGGTCAAACAGGACTGGGGTTATCCCACGGATCCACTTCCATGATGATAACCAGATGAGATCGCCAACGGACGTCGAGATGTCTGTGATTCACCACACGTGTCACGCACATGTGTAGAACATTCGGTGACAATGTGCTTTCGCGTGCATACAAATCCTCAAAGTGAAATCGCAAGGGAAATCGGACTGCATTCTTGTGTCTGTATCTACAAATAACGTGTAATATTACAAAGTCGAATATAAACTGGTACCGTCGTCATTGCTCGGTCACAGCAGTTATAGCTACGAGAGACATTCCGCGGTTGTCGCGTTATCGTGTTAGCCGTAATTTGGTGAAAACAATTAAATCGAATATGAATTTTACTTTTCTAGTTTTTCTTGAATCGTGTATCTTCCTACAAAGAAAAGTAACAAAAACATTGATTTCATACTCAAGTTGAATTTGCATTTGCAAACTTCCCGATTAACGTAGTGATAATAATAATTGGAAGAAATCATAAAAATACAATAAATCTTTCCATCATTACGTTTAATCGAGTGGAAAACTTATCAGGCAAAGCTCGATAAGAACCTACCGTGCATCGTAAATTCACGAATACTGATACGCAAGCTAACAAGGAATTAATAATAAGAATTAATTCAATCACGAGGATAGCTAATTGCTCTGATTTGATTACAATACTATGAAACGATTATATCAATAACGATTAGGTTGTTATGATCCGCGCGGATTGTTGTTATTATTCTTGTACTTGTTCTCGCTGTTGCATACACAGGGTGTTCCGAAATTACCTGATCTACGGGATATGGCGGTGTTCGGGTGGCTACAGAGATTACGCAGACGACCTTCCTTTTGTTCTTAGTTTTTAAATGGAAGCAGGTCAAAGTTGACCAATCAGAGCGAGGCGTCAACGGAAACGGTTGGCACCTGCGAACTCTGAATTTACGTCTCGGTGACTATGGGACTAGCTGTCGCTAATCCACGCACGAGCTGCGCCTGGCAGTAGGCAACCGCCCGGACGCGTGCTCCTCAGGACCGCAGGTTGCCCACCTGTAGGCGAACAGTATAAGCCAAATTGCCCGTACATGTGAGTAACGTGTTCCAAATGACAAGTCACAAATTTTACCACGAGCCAAAAAATATCACAGACGTATTAACTCCCTTAGAAAAATGTCACAATTATACTTCCGCAACGAAGCGGAAGTCCCGTAAGAGATAATTATAACAGCTGTATTATAAACAATCATATCGTTATCGCCTCTACTGCCACTTAATAACACAAGAACAACGTGTAAATTATCATGCTCCGCACGATAGCCTATCATGATGCTAATTATCAGCGCGTCGTCTAATTCCACCGGAAAGACTTGTATTTCAAAATCGTCCTTAGTAAAGTCCTACAGGAATTATTAAATCACACGTACAGCAACCAGACGCGTTCACAATATCCGATTTAATGTGAATTTTAATTTCTCGTTTTAGCGAACGAATAAATTGAACAAGGGCTAGAAAAATGTAAAATCACAAAAAAAAAACATGTGCATAATGAAATAATGCAACTGGGATATATTAAAAGACTGTATCACCTTGTTGCACAAGTGGATCAAGGATACGTGATTCTCGTTCGCTATGAAATCTGTATTTATGCATTAATCTAATACGTCAACCTATCGCTCGCATTGGTTCTTTTTTAGCGGCTATTTTTTTTCCCCTTTATTTCCAAATATATCTCACAGCTGACGTTACTCTAGTTTAAGGCTGTTATCTCGATGCAGCATACAGATCTGTGATTATTATGATATATATTTATTCGATCGAATCTCCAGATCGCGTGACAATTTTTGCAACTAAATTCTGTCCTGCTAAAGATTCGAAAATTTCCTGGTGAAAGTCATGACGAGGCGAAATCGTAACGACTCCCGTGGATCGCCGATCGTCCCTTACGCAATCGTTATGTTTACACGCGTGGCGACAGTGACCGTAGAAAACTTTCCATAAGCTCCGAAGAATCAGGGGTCCATTATGTTCATTATCATATACTAGGATAACTGCTTGATAAGAATCAACATCTTGAGAAACACGCGTGCTTACCCCCCCCCCCCCCC